CATCTTTGCGTCAATTTTCATTAATTTGAAAAACATATAGCTACTTTTGTGGATTTTATATTTGTTTGTTGTGAAGAAATATTCCATGATATATCTTTTTAAAATTGTAATAATAGCTAAAAAAAACTTCTCTTTCTTCGTACAGTGTGGGCTATTCCACGCTCACTCTGTGCGTCTAGTCTTCTCTTTTCTGGCAAGCCAAAACAAGCCTACAATGGTGGGAAATCCGAACAAGAGAGGGAAACGAGCGGTTTTGAAGTGTATGTCAACAAAAAAATGTTCAAATTGGGAAAATGTTCAGTCCTATTAGTCCTGTTAAATAACATGTTAAAACAAGATTTGATGTCTGGGCCACGCTGGATAAAGGTGTGAAAGATGGGAAGGGCCAAAAACTTGAGTTTATTGCTCCAAATAGGGTTCAGGACAAGAATATCCAAGAGGTGTGCAAAGATGAATTTCAGGAAGTAATCGAGCATTGGCGTTCTTCTTTGATATGTTACATTTTGGGTGCAAACTCTCCATTCTTTGTGGTTAATGGCTATCTCTGTAGATTTTGGGGGAAGTATGGGGTGGATAAAATTTTGGTCTTGGCTAATGGCGAATATGTAGTAAGGTTCAATTATGTTACTGCTAAGGAGGAAGTTCTCATCTAGAACGTTTTTCACTATGACCATAGACCTTTGATAGTGAAAGAATGGTCATTGGGAATTGGTTTTGAGCTTGAAGATGTTAAACAGGTGCCCATCTGGATTCAATTGCCTAATCTTGAGCTAAAATACTGGAGTGCCAAGACTTTAAGTCGTATTGTTAGTACAATTTGTAAACCTTTAGGAATGGATGAGATAATGTTGATGAGGAATGGGGTAGGCTATGCTAGAGTTTTGATCAAAGTTTTAATCTCAGATAAAATGCCAAATGAATTGTGGTTTGAAGACGAAGCTATATACTATACTAAGGCTAAAACCAGAGAGAGAAAACTAAAGGCATGGAGCACATGCCACATAGGATTTAATCCTATGTAGCATTTTCTTAATTTCTTAGACTTAAAAATGCACAAAACAAAATAATAAAACAAAAAAACGCAACTAAAATAATTTGAAAAAAGAAATAATAAAAACCGAACCCTTACTTTCATGAACCAAATCCTAACACAAAGAATGATTGGAGAGAGTACCAAATCCTAACAAATTTTAGAGAGATCTGCATAAACCTTATCACCAGTGAATTTAAAATGTCATTTAAAAAAAATAAATTCCTGTAAATCCAGAGGTAATCATGTTTAAAACTGAAGTCATTACATATTTTATAAAAATACAAAATTTATGTAAAAATGTCTAAATGTGTATGCCTTCCCCATCTATCGGACGGGTCTAACACCTAGTTTGGAGTAATTCAAGAATAAAGGATAAGATACGAATGGCTGCCTGTTCAGTGTTCAAAGTGTAAAGAGTATGGCCACAAAACAGGGCTTTGTCAAAAACCAATTAGTGTTGTTTGGGCTCCAAAACATAAGGATGATGCAGAGAAGGAAAATAAAAGTGAAGGAAAGGCCCCTCAGGTTACCACGGGCAAGGCAGCTGATCATGAAGAAAAGCAAGTGATCTCTAAGGAAACAACTCAAAGCGACCCAATTGATAAAGCCCTAGGAAGAATCACTAGACAGTCCAGGGCAGGGAAACATGTGATGCAGCTCAGTGAGTCAGCCAAAAGTGGTGAACACAGAAACTCAGGAAGGATTCAAGAAGCAGGAAAAGAAACTTATCATGGAACTAGACCCCCTAATCAAGGGACTAGGAATCATGAGTAATTTACTAAGCTTTAATGTAAGGGGACTCAACAATCCCCTAAAACACAGAGAGATAAATCATTATCTCTTTGTTGATGAGGTAGGCTTTGTAGGACTACTTGAAACAAAGCTATTAGGTGTTAGAGTAGAAGAGTTGATGAGAACTACATGGAAGGAATTTAGATATACCAGCAACCATTCGAATACAGGGAAGGGGAGAATTTTTCTTTTGTGGAAAAAAGATGATTTTAATATCGTCAACTTACAGATAGAGGACCAGTTAATTCACTGTTGAATTAAGGATGTCTACAACAGACACTTTGAATTGGCCATAATATATATGTGGATCACCAAGCTCAGGTGCGTATTTCATTATGGAATGCACCTCTAGATAGATATGGGAACATGGATAAAGCTTGTTTAGTCATGGGGGACATCGATTGTGTTTTAAGCTCATATGAGAAGCAAAGATGAGCGGCAGGAATCACTGCAGACACATGCATGTTCAAAATGGCTATTGAGAAATGTGAGTTACTGGAGATGAAAACCCAGGGCAATCAGTATACGTGGTGTAACAAGAAAATTGGAGAGGCAAGAATATCTTCCAAGTTAGACAAGGCACTTATTAATGAAACCTGGTTAAAAAGTTTCCCTGATGCAGTTACCTGGGTAAAATAGGCAAGCGTGTCAGACAACTATCCCTTACTTATCAGATGGGGAATTCAACAAGGAGCATAAAGCAAAATTTTTAGATTCTACAACATGTGGACTAAGAGCTCAGGGTATAAAGAAGAAATGAAAGGGGGATGGTTCACAGAAGAAGCAGGCTCCTTACGATATCAACTGATCCAGAAACTGAAAACTCTTAAAGGAAAGCTAAAAGCCCTCAACCAAAGACAGTTCCTAGACATTGAGTTGCGAGCTGAGCAGAAGAAATCTGAGTTGGAGGAAATCCTGAGCCTACTGCAAAGAGACCCTGAAAATATTAATTTGCAAGAGAGGGAAAGGGATTGCAACATAGCATACTTGGAAATCAGTAAGGTCATTATGGCTTACTAGAAGGAAAGGATAAAGGAGAATTGGACTCAAGAAGGCGACACCAACTCTCAGTACTGCCATGCTTGTGTGAAGCAAAGGAGGACGCAAAACAAGATACTGAGCTACACAGATAGTAGTGGCAATCTGGTGGATGACTTGACTCAGGTACAACGTCACTTCCTTGACTACTTTATCAACTTGTTAGGAACAACCGCTTCTAGGCTTTCAGCTGACAGTGAGGCTCTTAATTTAGGGATTAAATTGACTGTATACCAGCAGACTCTCCTGATTAAGATCTTCACCAAAGCTGAGATGAAAGAAGCGTTCTTCCAAATAGATATAAACAAAAGTGCTAGCCCAGACGGGTTTAATAGTGGCTTTTATAGAAGTTCTTGGGATATTGTAGGTGATGATCTTTGAAATGCTGTGATAGAGTTCTTTCAGTCTGGTAAATTACTGAAGCAGCTGAAAGTTACTCAAATATGTCCAATTCCAAAAAATTAAAACCCTAGAGACGCAAAAGAGTACAGTCCCATATCTTGTTGCAATATGGTCTATAAAATTATCACTAAGCTACTTAGCAGCAAAACTAAACTAGTGTGGTCTGAACTCATGGACCTAAACCAAGGGGCCTTTATTAAGGGTAGGTCTATCATTCACAATGTCCTTTTAAGAATTAATCAGGATGCATCGAAGGAAAAATATTAAGCCCTGTTGCCTCATGAAATTTGACTTGAAAAAGGCGTTTGAGTCTGTACATTGGGAATTCTTAGAAAAAATGCTGCATCAGCTGAAATTTCCTCCTATGTTTATAGGTTGGGTGTTGGAATGTGACACAACGGTGAGTTTTACTCTGAATATGAATGGACAAACATTGGTTCTTTTCAAGGAACATGGGGTTTACGCCAGGGTGACCCCATGTCGCCTTCATTATTTGTCATTATTATGGAATATCTCAGTCGTCTGTTTCATATAGAGATTGAGAAAGGAAATTTCCTGTTTCATCCTTTTTGTGACAAACTCAAGATAGTCAGTCTATGTTTCGCAGACGATCTCATCCTCCTCAGTTCTACAAATCTCCAAACCATCAGAAAAATCAAAACAGTCCTTGAGTAGTTTGACACAACAACTTGTCTCACAATGAATATCCAAAAATCTGACATGTACTTTGGTGGCGTACTTCAGGAGTTACAAACTCAAATCCAGCAAGTCATGGGCTTTAAGATAAGCAGCTTCCCAATTAAGTTCCTTGGAGTGCCACTGTCTTCTTTAGCATGGACACAAAGAGACTGTAGTTTGGTTGTTGATAAAATAGTTGCAAGGCTAAAATGTTGGTCCAGAAGACATCTCAGCTATATTGGCTGGCTGGTGTTGGTGAACTCAGTGCTCCTCAATCTCCATTCTTATTGGACATGTATCTTCTTATTGCCTAATTCTGTCATTAAGCAAATAGAATGATGTTGTAGAGACTTTCTTTGAGGCAAAAAAAAATCAGGCCGAACTTGGTCACTTTTTTCCTAGTATGAAGCTTGTAAGCCTAAGGTGGAAGGTGGAGTGCACATTAAACTTCCTGAGTTGTGGAATCAAGCCATGGTGGGAAAGAAAATATGGAATATCGAGCAAAGGAAGGAGAGTCCATGGATTCGTTGGATATATGAATATTATTTGAAGGGCAAATCCATATGGGAGTATGAACCGCTGCATGTTTGTGGATGGCAGTGGAAGAAGTTGCTATTGGTAAAAGGCAAACTTAAACAAGGAATCATGAATGGTCTGGTTAGCGCAAAAGAATAACAGTTACACGACAAAAGGATGTTATAACTGGTTAAGGGGAACAACTGTTAAAAGGAGAGCAGCTGAATTTGTCTGGAGTACTTACAATGTTCCCAAGCATTGTTTGATCACACAGCTGGCTCTCAAGGATCAATTGGTAACTCAAGAAAGGCTTCAACAGCTCAATTTGTTCCATGGAACTATAAAATTTTTAACTCTGTTTTTTTTTTTTTTTTTGTAACAAAGAATCCCAGTCGATAGGCTAGGGATTCCTAGATTTTATTCGAATTGAAAGTAGTCTCGAAGAGCAGTGCATCTAACTAACCCTTGGAAGTTAAAGAAAAATGACATATCAAAACGTCTCAAATCCTTCCGCTTGTATAGTACAAAGAAAGTTGAGGATCTATGTTTTTCTAAAATGAACATATGGAAAAGACCGTTGATCAAGGATCACTAACCCCTTAGTGTCAATTGGTAGATCTTTCAGAGATGTGAAAACTTGACATAAACAATCAGAAGCTCTCATTGCCAAATTGTTTGCAACCGCATTAGCTTCACGATAAAGATACTCTATAGAATAAAACGGCCTATCCAATATTGCCAGAATTGCAGAAAGAGATGAGATGTGCTGCCAAGGAGAATCTCGACGCATCTTCAATAGCTCCATTAGTACCTTATTGTCAGTCTGGACCAGAACCGGATGCAAACTCAAAAGTTCACTTTTCCTTAAAAGAAATAGTAAACCAGCAATTTCTGCTTCAAAGCTATCAACATCACCCAAAAAACCCAACTCACCATAAACAAAGATACCTCCTCCTCCACGAATTAAGAACCCATAGCCAGCACCATGATCTCTTGAAGAACCATCCCTGTTCAAGATAATGGATCCTTCCAATGGCGGCTTCCAACATACAGGGATGTAATTTCTTTTCAAAACCCTACCATTCCGTACATGAAAATGCCTTTCCAAAAACTCCAACTCCTCTATTAATTTACTTGGCATCACATGTACACGTAAAATATCAGAGACATCATTTGTAATCTTGCGAACTAGCACATGATCCGAAACAACCACACCCTCAAATAAGACCTCGTTGTGAAACTTCCACTACTCCCAAATAATGAAGGAAGGAACCAACATCCTCAAAGTTTTCAAGGCAGTAGAGAAGTCTACCTTACACCGCAAAGCAATCAGAACATGATCTAGGGTTTGGGCATCAAGCAAGCATACATTAAACAGTTGAGCAAACAAACCTCACACTATTTGATAAAAAGGGCACCCAAAAAATCAATGATAAATTCCATCATTAGAAGCTTTACAAAACGGGCAAACAGAAGGGTACACCTGCATACCAATCTTACGTAAGGTTTCCGGAAAGGGCAGCAACTAATTCCTCAATCTCCATATGAAGAGAGAGACCCGTATGGGTAGTCGCGTGTGCCATATATTTTTCAGCATAGGCTCCTTTGGCTTCCTCCTTCTAAACTGTTCATAGGCTGTTTTAATGGAAAAAGCACCCGTCTTGCATGGCTTCTAGACATGGATATCCAGCTCCTCATCAACAAGAGTTAAGCAGCGTTAAAGCCTCTGCTTGTAAAACAAGAGGAAATTCTGCCAGGAAATCTTGCCTTCTGTGAAAAAATTGCTAGATAGTGAGATTAGGCCTAGGAGAATATGCCGCTATATCATCCCGGAGAACTCCCGTAGGAGTCCAATTCTCGTGCCAAAAAGAGTTGTCACCATGCTTAATTAAGATTTTTGAATGAACACCAGCGCAGAGATGTATCCCGACTACACGTTTCCATGAGGTCCTTTTTCTTGTTGTAGTAGACAGAGAAAGCAAAAACCTGGTCCATGGCCCAATTCCCCGTTTCACCTTCCACCATAGCTTAGCAGAAAAAGCATGTATGATTGTCTCAAATCCTCTTAAACCCATACCATTTTCTACAGTGGGATAGATAAGACCATCCCACGCTCTCCAATGCCGTCTTTTAACACCAGCTGTCTCGCCCCAAAAGAAGTCCTAATACCTTTCTTCAATAGCCCTAATCACAGATTTCAAAGGAGGAATAGCTGCAAAAACATGTGTCGGAATGGCACTCAGAACATGCTTAATGAGGAGTAGCCTTCCAGCAAGACTTAGAAGCTTATTTTTCCAGTTCACAACCTTCTTATCAATTGCATCCAAAAGAAATTGAAAGGTCTCAGACTTGACTGTACCTATGTAAATCTGGCAACCAAGATACGTGAAAGGAAAAGAACCCTTTGGCATATCTAAAATTCCTTTAAAAACTTCAATGCGTATAGCTCGGCAATCATTAGATACAGAGAAAAAGTTTTTTTGCCGGTTCATTTTTTGACCAAAAGCCTTCTCATAAGTGCTAAAAAACTCATTCAAGCCATGTAATGATCTTTGCAGGCCCTTGGTGAAGATAATCAAATCATCAACAAAACTTAAATGAGAAACCACTTGAGCCCCCGTCAGGACTCCATAGGTCGCAAGATTCCCAAAAGAACGGAGCTTATTCAATATCCGGGTCATAACTTCTGAAACCAGGATAAACAAATACGGAGAGAGAGGATCACCTTGCTTTATGACCCAAGTAGCTTGAAAAAATCCAGCAGAAGAACCATTGATCAAAATGGAAAACCAACTACCACGTAAGTTATTCAAAATTAGAGTAGTGAAACCCTGAAAGAAACCAAACTTTTCCAAAAGCCAAGATAAAAGACCAATACACGCGATCAAACGCTTTCATCATATCCACGTTTAAAATAATGTTGTCCCCTACAACCTTCCTATTCCGGAATTGGCATAAATCCCGAGTCAACAATATGTTATCTGCAATGTCCCGCCTAGCAAAAAAAGCCGAATGCTCCTCCAAAATTAATTTCGATAAAATCACCTTCAATCTCTCTGTAATAATTTTTGTGAAGGTTTAATTAAGGAAATTACATAAGCTTATGGGACGGTAATCTGCAAACATAGAGACCGTATTCTTCTTGGAGATCAAAACAACAAGTGTACTAGTAACAGCTCTTGGCAGGGGAACCCCCAACATAAATTCACGACAAGCTTGCAACAAATCGCCAGAAACAATGTCCCAACAGCTTCTATAAAAAAGACCCTCAAATCCATCCACCCCAAGCGCACTTTCATCACTTAAATTAAAAACCGCAGCCCTCACCTCACTAATGTCTACTTGTCAACAAAGGGACATATTATCAACGCCACTAAACAGTGCCGAAATACTAAGAAGAGACAACTGACCCTCCTCCCTATCTTCCCATAGCTCCTCTATCAAAAGATTCTGGAAAAATTGTGTCACCTCCGTCTTGATGTTTTGCTAATCATGAAGTCAATCGCCTGTTTCTATTTGGATTTTATGGATCCCCATACGCGACTTTCTTCCTGCGAGAGAAGCATGAAAAAACTTAGGGGGCGCCTGGTTTGGGGGTGTGAATCCCATGGTGTGGGTTTGATTCCAAGTCAAGCTGCTTGGTTGCTGAGTTATGATTGGATTTCAAACCCAATAGCCCATTCCACATATAATTGGATGGTTCGATAAACTGAAATCCAAAGAAAAGAAAATTCTTTCTTTTACCCCTCTACTAAGTAACCCATTTGCCATTTTTTCATACTTCGTGAATTCCTTGCTCTTCATATCTCTTCTTCTCCTTCATTTCTTTCTCTTCCTCAATCCCAAATGTTCACACCAAATCAAGAGGCCACCATAAATTACCATCATCAAACCTCAATTTTTAAAGAAAAAGAATCATAAAGAGTAAAATCCTAAATTGCCAAGAACAAATTTGCTGCCCGCCGCCCGCCGCTATGCTCTGCCACCCATGGCCAATCCTTCTTTATTCATGGAGGCAAAAGGGAAGTTTTGTGATGATGATCAAATCTTCAGATTCAACAAAACTGGAGAATTTCAAAGAAAGGATATGAATTTATGATTTGGAAAATTTTTGGCAGTAAATTTGGTAGAAATTCTTGTGAGTTATTTGTTATATAAGAATGATGAATGATGGGTAATGGGTTTGTTTGATGTAGAAGGAGGTGGGTGGTGTGATCTCACTGATGTGTTTTTGTTGGGCGGCGAAGACATGGAATTGGGATGAGATAGGAGTTGAACGGCGGGAGAGATAGGAGGATGCTAGGACAAGGATGAGGTTAAAAAATGTCTTTTTAAGTAATTTACAGTCAAATTCATTTATAAACCAAACAAGGTAATTGGAAGTTTTTACACCCATAGTAATCCTTTATTCTATGAAAGAATTTCAAATTATGGTACCTTGGTTGAACCAGACACCTCCTTAGAGTTTGAATCACCTTCTTTCAGCGATTTTAGACGCATCTTTTTTGGGGCCAGTAATCCTTATGCTCTTTTAATCTAGCAAGTAATACCGCTTTCACCTCGTGGAGCTTAACCCGACTATCCTCTGACGGATCCCAATCATAAACACCTTCAAGGGTTTGAACTTTCACATCTTCTTTTTTAAGACTGTCAAAAACATTCCCAAAAATAGGCTTATTCCACTCTTTCAAAACCCTTTTCAGTTGCCTCAGCTTCCACGAAAATGCTAACATGCCATATACAGCAACTGGCTCCTCCCAACATACACGAACTACCTCTAAAAAGCCAGAGCGCCTTAAACACATATTTTGAAGCCGAAAGAGTTTCAGCTTACTATTCAATTGAGGCGCAAACTGAAGATGAAGCGGGAATGATCAAAAGTTGCTCTATTGTGATTTTCAACGGAAGATACCGAAAACAATTCCCCCATTCACTGGATAATAAAACCGTATCAAGCTTTTTGCTAATCCAACCCGTCTGCCTCGTGCCACCCCATGTAAACTCCACACCAACCGACGAAAGCTAAAAAATCTCACAACTAGCTATACAATCAGTAAACTCCTCAATAGCAGCATGATCTTCGACTGAAGACCCGAAATTTTCTTCCAAGGATCAAATTACGTTGAAATCGCCGACAACCATACGAGGGACACTTGCATGCCGATCCCTAAATGCCACCAGATTTGTCCATAGAAATTCCCGCGCCTGTCTAGTGGATTTTGCATAAACAGCCGAGACATAGAAAGTCTCTGGAAATGATCTGCAATGGATTTCCATGTGGAGCACTTGCTCGTGATCCTCAAGAACTAAAACAGCAAAATCATCCTGGAAGAAGACCCAAATTTTACTTGTGCGAGAGGAAAAACCTCTATCGAAAGCCAATTCTCTACGAATCTCATCCCATTTATGAATTGGCAACATAGGCTCAAGAATAATTAAAAAAGACAACCGATACAATCCTTTCAAAACTTCAGCTGCCTTTGCGAGGATTGACTTTCTATGCCTTGTATATTTCAAATGATTTGATTAAACTTTGGAAGAAGAGAAGTTTTCTCTGAGATAGAGCAACGCCGTGGCACCAAATCGGCCTGCAATTTTAACCTTTCTGCATTCGTTTTCCTCCCACGTTTTCCTTTTATTGTTAATTCTCCTGGCTCCGATTGTTCAACCAGTGCATCATCTATTTCCCCCTCTGACCGAAGTTGACGTTCAATAGGTTTACCATCAACTGAGTTTTCCTCTCGTTGATAATCCACTTGGGCATCATTCTGGATTAGTAATTTTCCATCTGGATCAATCGGAGAACTCCGTGTTTCCTCCTCAACACCCAGATTGACTGACGCAATCCCAACTGTAACCTGTTTAATCAAGGCTTCCTCTGAATAAACCTCCTCAACTTCTTCATCGAACTCATCAATAGTTTCAAAAACAACAAAACGATTTGATTTTTGGGTCACTGTACCATCAGTTGTGACAGCACGCTGAGACAAAATAACGTGATGTTTCTGTTCATCCATCGCTTTTCCTGCGTCTTTTTCAATCAACACCCCTGCATCTATTATAATAGCGCGCTGTGACAAGGGGGCGCACTGTGTCAAGACAGCGCACTGTGAAACTTGTTGTTCTTGTTCCAGATCACTGCGGCTTTCTTCCACCACTCTACTAGCAGCACTAACGGTTAATACCACCTAATTTATAGGCTCCTCATGCAGATCAAATGGTATAGTAGCTTTCTCTTTGGTTGTTAAGCCCGAGGAAGAGACAACATTGTCCGACCGATCCTTGATTACAACACCAACTTGGGGCTTTCACTTAGGCTTTTGGGTCTTCAATAAAATCCCTTTCCCCTTTTTGCCTGGATCAATTTCTTTTCCAGCATTATTTTGCTGCACAGTAGGAAACGACTATGGAGCCAGGCCTTTTTTGCAATCATCCCTTTTATGACCAATTTTACTACACTTAGAGCAATATGAAGGAATATGCTCATAAGTAAAGTATTGATCGTGTTTTATTCCCTTCTTCCCAATTCGAACAAACTTTGGGAATTCCTTTGTCAAATCTTCTTCAACACAAAACCTAGCTACTGATGGTCTTGTCATATTCATTGTTGGTGCATCCACCTTGAGCGGTTTCCGGATGGCAGTCGCCATGGAGAAGATAACCTCCGGATTAAGGTATTCAACCTGAAGGTCGTACAATGCTACCCATATGGAAACAATTGGCGGGTCTTCTTTATAATTAAGACCTGGAGTCCACTTCAATATACGCATCGAATATCCAGCAACGTTCCAAAATGGATGAGGATATGCCTTGGGTTCATCAGTCCAAGCATATAGCCTCCCTGAAACCCTATCTTGCAAAATTCTTTATGAATTTCTTCCATCTTGGGTCTTCCGTAGGAGAATTTCCCTACCAAACTCAGATGATGTGGTGCTACGAGTCATTGAAATTCATCGTCTTCAAATTCAAGCACAGACGCGCCATCGATGAATTTCACCGGCTTAATAAGCGATGACTTCTGTCGATCCGGTTCCACTATCTACTAAAAAATGCTTGCAAAAGACCGAGGGGATCCAGTGGGGACCCCCCCTTGTTGATCGCCGACCATGATGGCCGTCGATGTGTCAAATTTGTTGAGGGGCGCGATTGGTTTTCAAGAGAGAGAGAGAGAGAGGCTAGGGCACAACTCTATTCTTCAAATGTCCATTTTCACAGGGAATTTTAGCTGAAATCTTCCAATGGTTGGGCCTTAAGTTGTGATTGAATGACTTGCAATCCTCTGTCAAGATACTTTAGAAAATTTGGAAATACCCAACAGTTAAGAGGAGAGTGCTGTTTGCTGCTGTTGTTGCCTGAATTTATCACATATGGGCAGAGCGCAATGGAAGGAAGTTTGAATAGAAAAGATTGGAGGTGGTAGATAGAGTCCGAATGATCAAACATGAGGTTACTTGGAAAACGCACGTTATGTGTAAATCATGTAGACCAATAGAGCAAAGTTTTTTGGTCTATCTAGGCATTTTTGTGTCTTAGGCAAACTGTATAAATAGAAAGGAGTTGTAAAGACTAGGTTCTCTGTTTTGGTTATAATAGAAGTTACTATTTTACCAAAAATATAAAACTTTTTTAAAATCATTTTATCTCATCTCTCTATTCTATTTAAGCTTTGTTCTATTTTATTGCCGCTTGCATACAAGTGGATAGTTATATCAATTAGTGAACAATTTGATACTCCAAGCACGAACGAAGAAACCTATACACTAAGTAGCCCCAAAATGTGAAGAAAAATTCTTTATCCACATATGCTAAGGAAGTATAATCTCAAAGGTTCAAAATTCGTGTATGCATGCAACTTGAATGATAAGTCAAAATGCAATCAAAACACAATTGTAGCTTGTAAAAAAGAATTGGTTATATGCTCCATGAAACTCAAAGTACTTTCACATCAATCTTGTAATTTCAATAGGAAAATTTGGGGAAAGATTCATTTTAGTCCAAACGTTTGCTCTAAATGTCGATTTAGTCCAAACCTTTATTCAAGTTGTTGATTTCATCCGAAGGTATGGGTTCTTTTGTTGATTTAGTCCTCCAGAGGAAGAAGCCCCTCAAACTAATAAAAATTAGCCCCAATACTTCGTAAATGTTTTATAAAATGCCCCTTATTGTACAAGAAATTACAAAAAGTATTTTATTTTGTAAATATTTTGATGTTTTTTTTTCTTTATTTTTTTTTGGGTATGCACCACAATAATATTTCTAAAGTTATTTATGTTTTTTTTTTCTTTGATGTGTCAAGTTTTACTTTTTGAATTTTTCTATTCTTTTGAGTTATAATAATTATAAATATATAAAGTTATGTTCAAAATTCACCTGTTAATTTCTATTTTTTTTTATTTGAAATGTCAAGTTTTACTTTTTAAATTTTTTTATTTTCTCAATATGTAATAATTGTAAAGATATAAAGTTATGTTAAAAATGCACCTGTTAACTTCTAATTATTTTCTCCTTACTTCTAAAATATATACATACATATTTAATAGATAAGTAGCTATTACTGTAAACTCATTTTTGTCCATATGATGCCGCAGCCGTTCATCATGACTTCTATCCCCATAACTAAATAAAATTTCTGTGAGTGTAGTATAAATAAATACTGAAATCTCAAAGATCGAAGTTGTATCATAGTTTTCTATATGTTTATAACATGTAGAAAAATACGGTGCCTAAAAAGAAGGATTTGTAATATAGTTTCTTATTTATTTATAACATGTAGGAAAGAATAAAATTAGAGTTGACATTTCAAACTAAAACAAAAAAGAAAAGTATTTGTTTTTAAGAGAATATGTAGATGAAAACAAATAAATAAATTGAGAAAAATCATTTTGGCATATACAAAAATAAGGATAAAAAAGAATTTAGAATAAAAGTTTTTGTAATATTTTTAATTCCGTAAGGAGCAATTTTTAAAATTTCTATGCTATTGGTTTTAATTTCAATTAGTTGCAGAGGGTTTATAATATAATTAAATGTGAAAATGAAAAATTAAATAATTTTTTAATTTTTTACTGTCAGAATAGAAAGAAAAACTAACCGGAAAAAAGACAATGATGGGTGTGCAAACTATAGTTAATATAGTCATTTCAATGTTTTACTGAGAAAATTCAACTCCAGAGATTTCTAGGAAGTTTGAATTATATTTCACCATACTATAAGAATTTACAAAAATTATTAACTTTTGTCATTATTTGACATGGTTTTCTTCAGATTTGACTGAAGGTGGTGGTCTATTTGTACAAAAATTTCAAAAGTAGATTCCTACTTTTGTCAAAATTTCAAAAGTAGATTCCTACTTTTGTCACTTCATTCTTTTCTTTTCCTTTTCTTGATTGAGTGATTCTTGGATCTGTTGTAATGATTTTGATGAATTCATCGTGATCGTCATCTTTGTCTGGTGACCGAGATTCTCCGCCAATATTGCAAACGAATTTTCTTCATTTGAAGTTATGCTCTTCATCGAAATATCTGATTTTTCGAAATATTATCATTGTCGAGATTCTTTAAATTTCTCATGAGATCTGCTTTAACTTCTTTCATATAGGCGGATATTATTTCTTCCTTATTAATTGCTCCTTCTTCAAGCTGAATCCGCTTTGTTATGTGTTTAAACGGACTTTCTTCATCCAGGTTTGCTTTAAGCTGTTCCTTTTCTTGAGTATATTCCTTGATTTTCTGGGCAATTTCGTCCAGCAAATCTTGTCCTTCTATTCTTTTGGTATTGTGATTCACCTTTGTTAATTTGTCCCAAAATTCGGTGTAATATGTCTTATAAAGACACGGAATTTGAAATTCATTGAATCCCACCTCAGGGACCCATTTATAAATCCAAGGAATTGAGAATTCAATAAAGAAGTATAACAGAGTGATTTTCCTGGAGCACCAGATATGACTGTGTTGAAGTTTATCAATGATAGGAGAGGATTTTAACCATTGATAATATAATTTGAAAAATTTTCTGGCAAAATTTTTCTTTGTTGGGCCATATAATGCCCACCACCGAATAAACCAGTTGGGTATGGGAGAAGAATACACATGGGAGCATATTTTTATGAACCAAGTATGCTTTTTCCGGGGTTTTCATAATAAAAGTTTTGTAAAAACTTTGGATATAATCCCATAAGTAAATTTCAAAGGAGGAGAAGTAGGAGTATTACGTACTTCTCTTTCGAAAGGGTTGAAATTCCCATTCTTCGAAGATAAAATCTTTTGATAATAATTTTTGAGAAGTTATAAACTTCATTGTAGTCGATTAGACTGAAATGTGTTATTTCACATGTTTGTTTGAGAATATTCTCATAATAATTTCGGGTTTGTATGACTCACCGGTATCGTTACCCTTTCTCGCTAGATATCTCCGGAATATTACCCATGGATCATCTTTCCACTGAATATCAGCGTTTTCAAGAAGGAATATTACCTCCTTTGTGGATCCTTTTTCATATGACCGGATATCATCCTAGTCAGTATCACTTACTTTGGCAGCAAAGGTATCACTTTGTTGCTCTTGGATTTGGTCCATAATCGCTTATATAATGCAGAATCTTTCGAATAAAATCCATTATTTGGACCAATTTCGCATTTGATGAGGAGGATTCCTCCGAGATTTTGAAAAATCAGCAGCTATTAGCTTTTATTCCCATGTTGTATTACAGGGTTTATTGTTCTTCCTCCACGACCTCTATAAGGGCCGCGTCCTCGATCTGGTGGATACATAATCCTGAAAATTAGAGAATTATTAATGATAATTTGGCTTTACAATAATTCAACTTTTCTTCACTTTCAGTTAATCTTCCAGTGAAGTCTTCTATCATGTCATAGACAAATTCAAGGTCTTCTGAAACAGATATTATCTGTTGTGGTGAAGTAAATTCATCAGCACAATCAAGAATTGTATTACGAACTCGTAAAAAGTGATTTAGTCTATGCTTCGCAAAAATATATTCCGTTCTACAATGCCTAT